GGAGACGTCATTCGATGATTTTCTTCCCTTAAAAAAAAAGAAAACGTGGTTTGACACTAGTCAATGGGGATGATGACAGGGTATGAAAATTAAAAATATAATTAGTCCGTAACTTAGGTAATAAAAAAATATTAGACACGTATTTTTTTATTTTGTTGTATAATAAAACAATACTTAGATAAAACGAATCAAAGTTTAGGAGTGGGGGCTAAAACGTCATTTCTTAGTATAAAATGTACTGAGGAGTGACGTCACGCGACATTTCAAATCAATATATCTTCGAAACTATTCGTTTCCGTAAGAAAATAAAAAATACGTGTCTAATGTTTTTAAATAATCTACCAGACGGACATTAAAATAAAAATTAGTCGTCTACCCCATTCTCTATGGGACAAACGGACTACATAAGCGCCATCTACTGACCAAAACAGCGTTACCTCTTAATTAACTTAAAATAAGTAGCGTCCCTGTGTGACTCGAAACTAGTAGACCTTGTCTCAGAATATTTTGTACGTAACTCGCGATTTTTAGTCAATTCAGTGTGTCTCACGATAGTTATTTTAAAAACAGCGTTACTTCTTATTCTTGCCAATTTGTTAGCTTTATATTTCAAAATAGAAAACCTTGACTCCCAAGAGTCTAAGTGCATAAAACCACTACCACTTTAGCAGCACCTTTCATCTTGAAGCGTTATGAATTATGTATAAATATTGGTAAAATAAATAAACAAGTAGGTCCGTCATAACTGAGTAGGGTCACTTTAAGTCACCGGGGATGGAAATTATACTAATTTATATGCCTACTTGGGCATGGCTGGAATGTCTCAATGGTGAGGTTGAAAATGGACTGTCGAGCTCAGGCTTTCGTGTTCAAGTCCCGGGTTGGACAGAGTTATTGGGGTTTTTTCAGCTTTTTGAAAATTTCGTTGCTAGGTAAATGTATTAAGGAGTTTGGAATTGTGCCCGGTATAATGGTGGCTCCCCTCTTATTACATAGAATGCATTAACTAGTGAAAATTGTGACTTTTTCAGAGTTATACATATATACTTTCTAAGATTATATCACCACCAATGAAGGATAACATCGTGAGGAAATCTGTGCTTATAATTTCTAATTATAGAGGTAAATTTAAAATCGCCAACCCGCAATGAGCAAGCGTGGTGATGATTATTATGCTTATATTTGTGTGTTTTATATGTTAGATACTTATTTGTGTATTCTGACTGTCTAAGTGGAAAACAATTATATACCTAAGTGTACCTACCTCTGTTGACTTTATTAAAAAGACTGTAATTTAAAGCAAAAAAAGTTTGCATGGAAAATGCAAATTGACTGCACGGTTGGTGTGGATGTCTGGGCAACCGGCTGCCGTGCAACGTATCGCGGGTTTGATTCCCGCACGGAACAACACTTTGTGTGATCCACAAATTGTCGTTTCGGGTCTGGGTGTCATGTGTATGTGAACTTGTATGTTTGTAAACGCACCCACGACACAGGAGATAATATTTTTTTTCACAAAGTTATTTACACAAAATTATAATAATAAAATCAATGTTTAACTCACACTCTAAACATAGATAGAACAAGATAAACATTAAAATGACCAATAAAACGAACGAGCACCAATTTCCAAACGGTACCCGACGACACAAAATTCCACCATTCCACCGTCTCAAGTCTTTCTCCTGTCAATAGCTCTTGAAGGGCTTTCAAAACCCCATGATTAACGATGCCCCCTAATTTACAATTTATTGGAGTAAACTTGGCGACGTCTATCCATCAATATGACCAATATTTTGTCGTTTTGCTGACTAATTTGTGTGAACCTCGACCCTGCCTTCGTCTTTGCTTGTTCATTGGGATTGGGGTAATTTGGGAACGGGGTTTTAAGATTGTGGATATTTTTAGAATGAGTTTATTTGCGGTTTGTGTACCTTTTTGAATGGATTCGTTGGTTTATTGTCTGTTTTCATCACATAACATCGCGTCTTTTTATCCCCGAAGGGGTAGGCAGAGGTGGAGGTGCACATTACGGTACTTGATGCCACTGTACAATGTAACACCCACTTTTCATTATTTATCGCTACAACTGAGATTTTTTTAAAACCCAGTAGTACTTTGCCCGACCCAGGAATCGAACCAGAGACCCTTTGCTCGGCTGTCGCACTTGCGACCAGTCGGCCAACGAGGCAGACTGTCTCTTTCTATGGAATGAAATGAACATGAATTTTATCCGTTATTTTACTAGCAACCCACCCCGGCTTCGCACGGGCGCAATATGCATGTATTATACACATAAACCTTCATTAAGAACCACTCTATCTATTAAAAAAAAACACATCAAAATCCGTTGCGTAGTTTTAAAGATCTAAGCATACATAGGGACAGACAGACACGATGCATAGATAGATGTAGTGATAACTGAGTTTACTTCTTTTTGAAAGGTACTATCACAGATTGACTGTCTGTATCACCCATGGTGTTACCCGTGTTATGCATTAATCTGCTCACCATCAGATGATACGTGTTCTCATTTTCCACTTTTCCTATCCAAATTTCATAGAAGGAGAAATTCTCAAAAGGTTTTTAAATTATTCGGGACTCCATTATACTTCTTTGTCATAAAACTTCATAAAACATTTACAGTAAAATGTTAATTTTCGTAATATTCTAGCTCAAAAAGAGACAGACTTCAGACCATCCAAGGACCAAATTAAATCCATTTAAAAGGCTGAGGCAAACCTACATTACGAAATTGGGAGAGTCCCAAATTGCGTACAGTATTTAGCGAAGTGGAACTCGAGTTGCCGGTTCGTTGGCTCCTAAAGCGAGTGAGGAAATCACTTTTTTCCTTAAAACCTCACGTATATCGTATCAAAGCGAGACACTTTATTAAAAGCATATCATTATCTGATTGCGTATCGAGTATTGGAGAGTACTTATTCAGAAGTAGGTCCTATGATTATAAAGGTTTTAATTATCATACAAGTATTGATGCAAGTTACTGGGTTTTTTAAAATCTCAGTAGTCGCACGGAGTCTGGAAAAGTGCCTGGTATAGCAACAGGGTCACCCCCCTAATAAATGACACTCATAACATAAATAGTGAAAAGTGGGTGTTACATCGTACGGTGGCATTAAATGCCGTAATGTGCACCTCTGCCTACTCCCTTCGGGGATAAAAGGCGTTACGTTATGAGTGCCATGTAATAGGAGGTGAGCCTATTGCACATATACCGGGCACAATATCAGATTGCGTGCTAAGCTATGATTTTTTTAAAATCCCATAATACTTTTCCTGACCCGGGAATTGAACCCAATACCCCTTGCTTGGCAGTCGCATTTGCGACTACACAGCCAACGAGGCAGTCTGTTCTGTTTATTTCATCATCATCATCATCATTAACAGTCGGAAGACGTCCACTGCTGGACAAAGGCCTTCCCCTTAGCCCTCCACGTCGAACGACAACTCGCCACCTGCATCCACTGGCTCCCCGCAACTCTGGCGATGTCGTCAGTCCACCTAGCGGGAGGCCTGCCCACGCTTCGTCTTCCAGTCCGTGGTCTCAACTCAAGGACTTTCCTGGCACTTGTGCCGTTAGTCCTTCGAGCGACGTTCTGTTTATTTACAAACAAATAATTAAAAACAAAGTTAAGTTCAAATCGGAAACAATTCCTTAATTCCCCAATTCTGTCAGACTAAATCAATACAAACGCCAATTACTTTAAGACAACTAAAGTTTAACTAAATAAAAAACACGATCAAACTTGCCTAACAGAACGATTAAGCAAGTTATAATTGAAAACGTTAACCCTATCGGGCCTAATCTTCGGGTCGTCGGGACCGGCCCACTTGTAAAACTAACTTAATCAAACTGTCTCGGGGTATAAAACGGGGACCTTTTGTGATTTTTACAAAACACGGGAGGGTTAAAAAATCATTTGGGTTTCTGTGGTGAAAAAGACTCGGATCTTTGGAGCTAATTTATCTGTGCTCGTTTTTTGGGGGTTAGTGAAGTTTTAAGATGGTCTTTTGTTTTTTTTTCATCAAAACATACATTTTATCAAAAATTTTAGACTTCCCATCCTTTGATGGGAAAATCTATTTAAGTAATCAATGTACTATTTACTTTTTTGTCTCTACCGTTATGTCACTCATACAAAATTTAAATTCTATAAAATAAATTAAAACAGCTAGTGCTTTACTAGTTGATTTAGATTTTAATATTTTACTATAAGGAACTTGTAACTTCTAACAAAATGTTTAACTCCTATTCATCCTTTTGCGAACAGTATAGCATTATACAATCACCACTCCGAAACCAAGACCCATTAAATCACAGAACACGAAACTAAAACAAAACAAAAGTAACTCTACTCGAAGACCAATCGATCCACTTCACAACGGAATTCTGAACGCACGACTACCCGAAAAACTTTAATAAACCACCCACGCACGTCACTACACACTGTATAATCAATAAAGCGGGCAACAGAAATAAAATCGACCTGTATAATGGGGTCGCCAGGGCCAAATTTTGTTGAACACAACCTACTGTTCAATACTTCTTTGTTACGTTAATGTAAAACAGCAATTGTGTTTTTGTCTGTTCGTCTATAATGGGGTTGTTAAAAGTATTATTTTTGGCGTCTTTTGGGGTGATTTTAATGGTATTAGGTATTGGGCAAAAAGGATTAGGCTTTTTGTAATGAATAGTGTTAGAAAATGTATTGTGAAAGTTAAAGTCTCATATTAATCAGGTTAATATTGACGCATGCGTTGCTTTGGAAAATGTTTCGCTATTTCGCTAGTGCTTAATAAATTCCGAAACCAAACCACATTTAAAACATATACTATTAACATGTTTAATTAATTAATTTACTGTCTAGGTACTACAATTTGAAGGAATAATATTAATGTGTACCATTTTCCATTACATTACCTTAAAATTTTCTTTTCTTTTGCTATTTTTCTTAATTACTTTGTATCCTTGTCCACAGGATTCCCTCACCCAGAAATGCCTCCGCAGGGGATATTTAGCGCGCTAGAAGACGACTATATAGAGGTGATGTCGAGGAGAGGACAAAGTCGGTCGCCGTAGCCCACACTAACTGTTCTACCCACGAGAAGAGAGAGGAAGAGAAGTCGCCAGTAAGTATACAACATTTTGTAGTACGATAATCAAAAGAGAATATAGGTACAAAACTGTTACATACATTAAATGGATAATGAACTCATGAACGCTGCCAATTAGTTCGATTCATAAATATTTCCAAATGAATTGTTAATAATCTGTCGTTACACCAAGAAAAAATAAACATTCATAAATAATTTATATTGTCTTATCAGATATATGAATAAAATAATAATATATTGTACCAGTTAATACAATAAACATAGCAAAACTTGAACACATCACTGATAACTGTGAACATAGCTCTATTTTTAGCAACCCATAATTTTACGATAAACAGGTCACAACAATAAAACCCTATTTTTATCTACAACAAAAATAGAATAATGAAAAAACAGAGTATAATATTAAAAGTATCAGTAAGCACTTGTACGCATAAGCTCTTCACAAAACCTCTTTATCATCCTTTATGAAAGCCAAACCACAACAAGGATGAGAAGAAATACTCGTATATTGTTACCGACTAATATTTTCACATACAAAGCTATTATTGGCACATCAGCAACATAAACAGATTTCCTCCCATGTTTTTCTTTCACCCAAAAATATATGACGAATGATTTTTTCCCCTTAATTGACCATGGACGGAGGCCAAGATACGGATTATATCGCAGTAAAATATTATTTTCTCATTCATGATGTTATCTGGTCAATTAGAGATAGTTTATCTCCTTATTTACAGGAAGAAATATTATATCTTTCACAATGTGGATTCACCGGGTGCCCAGTAATAGTAAGGAAGCGCATGGTTGTATATTTGTACGACTAATCAATTAATATCAAATGACAGGTGATGTTAATTCATTTGTGAATGGTATCGAGTGTATTGTGTACACATTTTATTGATTAGATGTAGTACACACAGTACCTAATGTCAAAGATATTGAATCACCAAGTTAGATGGTTTAAAATTAAAAAAACAACTTTACAAAACTAAAAGTAAAGATTGTAACTTTTCAGACAATTTTAAGACTTCTAAATGTGAATTTAAAACACATTGTAAGTCGCACAAAAATCGCAAAGATCCACAACGTGTGACGACCCTCAGCTAAACAATAAGTGTTGTTATTTATGTTTGCCTAATATAATCTGCTGCTATAACAATGAATGTTGTCAGTAAAAAAATGATAAATGGTCCTAACTTCCATTCTCCTCTACTTATAACCTTTCTTTTCATAATAATTTATTGTCCTCGTAATTTATTAACAGACTTTCTTCTTCAACTTCTTTTGGTATAGATTTATTGGCATCAAAACCTATGTTTGGGTTTAATATCAATAAAACAGAACTTTCATCAAGTGGAATTGAGTATTTATCTTCATATTATGATACTAGCAAGTACTAAGCAGCTCTTATCGAATAATAAAACAGATTTTGGTTCTGAAACAAATTTATATAAGACATTTCGGTTTTATCAAATAGAACTTGATGACGAATAGGGAAATGGAAAATTTTGTGATGGAAACACTAACCATTACACTCAATTGACATATAAAATTGACAACAGAAGAATAGGAATTCTCAGTCTAGAGCCTGAGTGTATAATATTTATTTTTGAACTAAAATCGAACTTTAGATTTATTGATCAAAAGGTGTTTAAGATTATTCCACAAAGATTTGTCTTCCTAAAAGCTATGCTATTGAAGGTTTCATAATTTTTCACTCATATTTTTTTACTACCAGAAATGAACCTCCTCAACATGGACGCGGAAAACCGCGTAGTCCTGAACGTAGGAGGGATTCGTCACGAGACGTACAAGGCGACTCTGAAGAAGATCCCGGCGACCAGGCTCTCCCGGCTGACGGAGGCGCTCGCCAACTACGACCCCGTCCTCAACGAGTACTTCTTCGATAGGCACCCTGGAGTCTTCGCCCAGGTCTTGAATTATTACAGGTAAGGAAGGTTACATTTCTTCATCATCACATTCAGAGCCTTTTATTAGAATAAGTCGTCGTTTCTCCAGATAGGGCTTCTGTGATCTTAGAGTCTACTTACTTCTGGGTAAAGCATTTTCGTTTCTACGATTATAATAGCAAGGAGTCTGAAATAGAACTCAGAACAAGCCAAGATTACCTTCTAGATAAACTTTTCTATTCCCATTTAGAAAACAACTTTAACAATATTAAGTTAATGGTAATAGGGTAGATGCCTAATTTTTATTTTAATGTCTGTCTGGTAGATTATTTTAAATCATTAGACAGGTATTTTTTATTTTCTTACAGATACGAATACTTTCGACGATATATTGATTTGAAATGTCGCATGACGTCATTTCTATGTAGGTACATTTTATACGTAGAAATGACGTTTTAGCCCCCACTCCTAAACTTTGATTCGTTTTATCTAAGTATTGTTTTATTATGCGACAAAATAAAAAAATACGTGTCTAATATTTTTTCATTACTTAACTTAACTTACGGACTAATAAAATTTTCATAATAATAATAATTTCAAAAACCATGATAAGGAAGAAATTCTCGCTATACTAATGATAACGATTAGGAAACGTCTTAAAATAACAATTAACAACACAAAATTCAGCGATTCTCGTTCCTTTATTATTATTGTTGATAAAGTGAACACTTTAATTACTACGAACCATTTGCTTCCATTCTTACGTTAAATTCAGATGAAATAAAAACAGTCCCTTTTGGGGCACTCTCAATTCTGTTGAAAATAGAAAAATTACGTCCCAAAAGTCCTATATTACTTATTATCGCTATTTTGTTTCTTCTTTACGATAGGCAATAAGATTTCTAAACGCGATATACAGAGTCGTTTAGCAGCATTGGCATTTCGAGACAAAAGCGATGTCTTATACAAATGTATTTACCAATTACCCATTAGCAATAGGCCGAATTACCCCCCCCCCTTCCCCAATCCCTGAATCCCCAACAATCCTCAAATTCCTAATCCAGAAGGCCGGTAAGGCGTTACAAGTGTAACGCCTCTGGTGTTCCAGGTGTCCATGGGCGGCGCCGATTGCTTACCATCAGGTGATCCGTATGCTAGTTTACCGGCTTATGCTATAAAAAAAATGTCTGACATTTCGTACAAAAGGTATTTCAGCCATTTGGACTACTAGTTCCGAGATGTTATTTTTAACTCTTTTACATGGTAGACTGTGGTACCTTTGTATAAAAGTGATTGGTCAATAAATGATTTATTCATAACATAACATAACATTACGCCTTTTATTCCCGCAGGGATAGACAAAGGTGAACATTATGCCACTTAATAGCACTGTACAATGTAACAACCACTTTTTAAAGCCCAGTATTACTTTGTGATTTATTCAAAAAGTTCAAATTTCTTATTTTCAAATTATGTAACCAAAAATTACTAACCCTAAACTCAATCATAATAAGTGTAAAATAAGAAATATTCATAAATTAACATTTCAATATCAACGGCTTTCAAATATTCCGCATAATGATATCTACCAACTAAGACACGGCTAAGTAGATTGTATGTAAAAGAGAAACAAAGAATGAGCGAAAGAGAAAGTGCAAAAGTGATAAATGACCTTATTATAATTCTGTAATATTAAAAAATTAGGCTGACTGGAACAAATTATTTCGGCTTAGGATACTGGGATAATGCTTCTGTTATTTCGACCCTCATTTTGGTTAGGTTTATTCGTTTGCGTTGCTTTTCTCCACTTTGAGAAGGTCGACCCTTTGTAAACATGGATACTGTTAAATATCAGTTACAATGGCTAACTTTAGACCAGGATTCTTCGAAATGGTATTTAAAGAGTAGAACTATGAATATGTTTTTAAGTACTAAAATCAAAAAACCGTCTCACAGAAAACATGACGTAATTTCTTCAGTAGTTTTTGGAACTATACGTGGGTTGTGGTCATACTTGCCTCCGGGTTGAACCCAACATTTTCCGTAAAGCCACAAGGGACGGTGTCAACCGCAGTATTTGGGTGAGTCCTGCGGTCGAACCAACCTGCACAGTGGCACACACGGGAACACCTCGAACTATTCAAAACCAGTATAAACTGACCGTTGAAAGTGTTGAAAGATTATATAAAGCGAGACCAGGATATGCTGGTTTATTGGCTTGATGTGTTGCCGTGTATACCAAAGGCTCGACGTACATATGAATTTTTCGCAACACATTTTGCAAACAGGAGGCTTGTGGTTACAGCGGTGTAAAAGAAAATGACTTCAATGTCGGTGTGTCACTTTTTTTTTGATTTTTTAACCTAAGAAGTCAGTTTTGAAAATCTTGAGGTTACAATCACAGCTCAGTTTAATCTTGAGTCTAAAGTTGACACAAAAATTGGTTAACGGAAGTTAAAATAAACTGATTACACAAAAATTCTACCATAGTCAATCCTATACCTCTATTTCTGTTAAAATCTTTTTTTTTAATAAATTTATTTGGTGAAATTTTACAGAGGTGCGGCCTTTAATCTAAACTCGCCAAACTTTACCGTTTGATGGCAAGAGAAGCTAATTAAAAATAAAATATTCGATTATATTAGGTATATATTTACGTACTATTACAATATTTTTTTTTAATGACAGTCTAATTTTTGTCTAGTTACATATAAAATTACATCACGCCTTTTATCCTCGAAGGGGTAGGCAGAGATGCACATTATGCCACTGTCCAATATAACACCCACTTTTTACTAACCCTATTATATACTCGGGGCTCCTGAGTCTCATGAAATAGGGGTGAGCCTATTGCCATATATCGGGCACAGTTTCAGACTCCGTGCTACTAGTGATAATTTTTAAAAACGCAGTAATTATTATATGCCCGCCCCGGGAATCGAACCCGAGACCCCTAGGCTAGGCAGTCGCGCTTGCGACCATTTGGACAACGAAGCAGTCTTTATCTACTATCCATAAATAAGTTAATCTCACTTTAGATAAAACACTCAAAAACAAGATAATCACTAAATTCTATGTTCCCAAACCCCAATCATAAATAATCGTTCCTTTTTTGCTCCAAACCCACTTGTTCCTAAACTAAGCTTATGGCCATATCGACTATAAATCAATATCAACTAAACCATAAACTAACATTAATCAATCTAAGCCTAAAGGGTTTAGCCCCGAAATTATCCGAAATTTTCCGAACTTTGCCGAAGTTGGAACTTTATCAATGAATTAATTTGAGCTATGAATGACTGTAGCGAACGTTAATGACAAACAAGTCAAGGAAATATTTGGAACAAGTTTTTTTTTTAAATCCGTCGTATTGCTATTTAACAAAATATTTTTTTTTTAAATTGATCCTAACAGGAAAAATACAATTTACATCATTATCATCATCATCAACAGCCTACAAGTGCCCACTGCTGAGCAAAGCTTCTTCTCACACAGAGAAGGTATGAGCATTAATCACTACGCTTGCTCAATGCGTAAAAAGTTACCTATAATTAGAAATTACAAGTCCAGGTTTCCTCACGATGTTTTCCTTCACCATTTGTCACTGATGTCTAAATAATCTTAGATATAACTCGGAAAAAGTCACAAAGCCTCATGAATGAGAAGCGGAGGTCTTAATCTCCGGGCCACCATCACACTATACGACCACTAAGCCATCTGGCGAGGACTAAAATGCCCAACAACGCACTTGTAGGCACTTCTACTACTTGTACTTCTACTGCTGTTTCTGTTGTCCATAGGTGGTATTGATAAATAAATAAATAAAATAAAAATAAAAAAGCCTTTTATTTCTTGCTATAAAAATAAAAACAAAAAAATACATTTAAAACTAAAAAACTAAGTATCCGTTAGTTACAAAAAGTCTTTCTTCTTTCCTCCTTTTCTTTCAAGAACCCCTCTCTTGGAAGGTAAAGGCCTCCTCCAGAGATAGCCAGTGATTTCTATCTTCTGCTATTCGCATCCAGTTTTTTCCTGCTATTTTTAAGATGTCGTCTGTCCAGCGTGCATTTGGTTTACCCTTTCTTCTTTGACCTGAAGGTCCTAACCATGATGTTGTTTTTCTTGTCCAGCGGTTGTCACTGAGTCTAGCTACATGTCCTGCCCATCGCCATTTCAGTCATTTTTTTTCAAAGTCAAGGTCAAAGTCAAAATCATTAATTTATTTCAATTAGACCAGGAAGGCACTTTTGAACGTCAACAACAAAAAAATTTAGAAGTGAAGCTAGTTGGTCATTCCAAGGTGTTGATTCCTATGGAGAAGAACGAGCAAGAAACTCCATAGGTTACTATTTTTCAATCGGGTTTACAATACAATTATCTAGTTACATAGTTTTGTTGGTTCAATTGTGTGAGAACAATGCAACACCTAAATGCAGTCAAAGAGATTGAAAAAGAAAATAACCTTGAGGACCATAAATCATACAGTCTGGAGCTGACCAGTCCCAACTGACGGCGCCCGTTCTAGTCTAATTTAATTTAATTAATTGCAAGACTCTCACATTTACAATAAATTGTGCAAAGTTTTACACTATATAAACATTTAAACTGTCAAACACCAAGCGGTCACCGGTGACAGCAACCTATTGTTCTATAATTGTGTCTACAAAACCGGTACTCGACGAGTTAAATGGCATCTATCCAATCATAAAAGAATTCTATTTCTAAGACTCAAGCAAAGAAATTTTTCTCAATAAGAATGCATATGGAACAAGAATATATTCTTAAGAAGGTAACGGACAGTAGGAAATGGAATCTACTTCGAATGAACAAACTGACATCAGGTCAGAACTAAACTTCACTGTTAGAGCGTCAGATTTAAATAGAAATCCATTTTTGTATGTGAAACTCTCACTTTGCAATTGCAAGTTCTAACGCTATTGAAGTAAGGTGCGTCAAAGTTGGCATTTATTTCAGTTAGACCAAAAATACACCGTGAAATCTATTTCGTTTTCGTCCCGAAGTAAAATGGTTCTGTCTCTGTAATACAATAGTTTTACAAAGAAATAAAATGTTTAAAACTAAAAATAAGTGATGGATCATTGAAAAAAGCAAATTTCGAAATAGTTTTTTTATGGTATAAGCCGGTAAACGAGCAGACGGATCACCTGTGATGGTAAGCAATCGTCGCCGCCCATGGACGCCTGAAACACCGAGGCGTTTCAAGTGCGTTACCGGCCTTTTAGAAATTGGAATTTTGAGGATTGTGGAGGATTTAACGGTGTATGTATATTCATACCTACCTTTGTAAGCCTAATTAAAAATGTCATTAGTCTCTCTCAGTCTGTATCCTAAATTGAGTACTTAAAATAGTAATAGCAGTACTCTTATACTATGCAGAAATGGAATCGATAACGATCACATCAAGCTTGTCTCGTCTTATTTGGCGAAAAAATGTGTGTTAATCTTTAATAGGTCGACTAGGAATTCTGAAATGTTAATAAATTTTAAGTTGTACTTAAATGTAGTGCTGTCTCTGTCATTTTACCGAAATTTTCTACTAAAAGAACTCAAACAAATCTTAAATATACTGAGAAAAGCTCTACTAGTTTCGAACCACAGAGGGGTTCATCCTCATGAGCAGCATGCGCGACGTCGCCGCGACCGTGGTTCGAAACTAGTAAAGCTTTTCTCAGTATATTTAAGATAGAGCATTTCACAGTATATTCACGTGAGTAACCCGCGATTTTAGTTAATTTAGTATGTTTCACGATAGTTATTATAAAAACAATTGTTAAATACTCAAACAAGCAAACCAATAACAAGCGGTGAGTTGGTTTGTAGTAGCTCTTAGTTAGTTAGTCCTTGGTGTTGCGTGCCGCTTGTGCCACGTTGCTGCCACGAAGACCTAATATTATTAAATTGAGTGTTTGACCATATTTCTACCTATCTTTAAGAAAAATAATATCTTTCACCAGGCGACATAGTGCCTATACGTCGTCCCAGCATATATAAAGGAAAATTAAAAACTATTCAATCCAGCGAAGCCATAGTAGTATCTTCATTATTGACTCCTTCATTTGTCTGACTACGTGTAAACAATTTATATATTTGAAACTATTGGTTTCCGATGACCCAATTACAGTCAATTTCCGTGTCGACTCGTTTGAAAACTATTTGGTTGAAATTTTAATGATGCTAAGTAATCTGTATTTAGCGTGTTGCATTATTTTACGAGTTGATTGGAGTTGTCGATTAAATATTAGATAACTATCATTCGTTTTCGATTTTATCTGTAGTTGTTGGTTATTGTGAATTCTTGTTGGTATATTTTAGTAATGGATAGTAGTGATGTGGGTTATTTTGGATTAATTAATAATTATGTGTCGCATAAGTAAAATAATTGTAATATATATTCAATGATTGGCAATTGTGTCAACAAACTTCATTGAAAAATACCTTCCTTTAAAATCTTTTCTGTAGGTCAAATAATTAATGTCTTAGAGCACAAATTATTGCCTAATGCTATCTGCTGCTCTATTGATTCCACCTCGGTTAAATACAAAACCAATAAACAGGTATGTACTTACGAAAAATAAAGTCGACGTAATTCAAGCCGTGAAACAAATATTGGAAAACGCTTGACAATTTATCATCTCAAAAGGTGAAAAGAGCATAAAAATAATTGGTACGCCTAAACTGGGACAATCATACACACTTGTGTGCAAACGTACAACGTCACAACACATATTTAAAGCTATTCATAACCAGTATAAACTGACCTTCAAATTTGAGGAAAGATGCTACAAAGTGGGATCATGATATATTGGTAATGTATAGCTCTTGTAGAGTGTACATGGAATGTTTGTGTGTGTTTGTACAATCCACATAACATAAGAATACTTTTAGGAATATTTTATCGCCTAAAAGGGGTGGTTTTATAAGAAAATTTATAGCCGAAACTCGTTACCGTAACCAATGAAATAAATAAAAAACAGAACCATTTACTGTGTGAATACATTTATAATGTATCAAAGGATCAAATTGGAAGTTCGCAACTGGATCAAGTTATGTAAATTTAACGTCTTTTGGGTTATTTTAATTTTCTTTGCAGATGTAAAAATGTATTGTTTTGTAGTCTTGAATTGGGTAGTTTCCAGGGTAAGAAAAAATCTAATTAGTCCGTCAGTTAGATAATGAAAAAATACTAGACACGTATTTTTTTTATTTTCTCGTATAAAGTTACAATATTGAGATAAAATGGAGTTTAGTTTAGGAGTGGGAGGTAGTTACGTCACAACGTGCTACATTTTGTTGCACGCTGTAACGTCACATGACATTTCAAATAAATATATCGTCGAAAACAAGTATTTAATTTTGTGAGAAAAGAAATACTTGTCTAATGTTTTAAAATAATCTACCAGACGGACATTAAAATAAAATTTAGGAAACTAGCCTATTCTTCTGTTAAAACCATTACTTAAGTGTATTTTTCTATCTCTATAATATGGGGTCATGAAAAATCTTCGAAGTTTTTTGAGACTGAGTAAAAGACATTTGAACTTTAACGGAAACGTTATAAAGTATAAAATCATCTGAACAAGGAAAATTTTCCTACTTCGAAAATAAATTAAAATTCCCAGCAATCCTATCGGAGCTGTTATTACTCAAACCAGGACGAATAACAATCAGGAATCATCGGAACAACTCCCTAATCCATCGTTATCCAAAAAACGGATAAAACATCCCTTGAGGGCGATTATTCTTTGTCCCACCCCAATTAAATGGTACAAAATGTTCATCCATCATCCAGGATCAAAGATAGCAATGTAGCCTTTAACGACAACAACCTGGAGGTAACCCTTTTGTTATTGAAATGTATGGAAATCGGGTAACTGCTCGTAATTGTGACAGTGTAGTAGTATTTTTACTTGTCGGTCCATACGTTCAGTGTCCGGGTTGGTTTTTTCCTCTCCAATGATATTTATTTGTCTGTTGATCTAGGAGAGCTGTTATATTTACAAGTTGTTTGGTATAACGTATTGTAGTTTCCATAATTATATAAGTAAGTTAGGTCCTTCTGTGACTAGGGAAGATTTTGGGGCCGTATCATTTTATGATGGTTTTTTTGTGTATTTTGATGTGTTCATCTAATGATATAACATACTGTGTTACTTACTCTGAACTCTAGACAATACCTACTAACCTTAATACTAAAAATGTACGGGCGAGGGGTCCTGGGTTCGATTCCCACGTCGGGCAAAGTATTACTGGGTTTTAAAAAAAAATCTCAGTAGTAGCACGGAGTCTGGAATTGTACCCGGTATATGGCAATAGGCCCTATTACATGGGACTCATAACATAAATATTGAAAAGTGGGTGTTACATTGTATAGTGGCATAATGTGCACCTCTGCCTAGCCCTTCGGGGATAAAAGGCGTGATGTTATGTTATGTTATGTAAAAATGTACCTACATGATTTTTGTT